CCGGGTCCGGGGTTACCATGAAAAAAAGATGTGGTGGAGCCAGGTTACAATGGAAAGACCAAGCTCAGGCAGCGAGTCCAAGAGTTGCGAAAGTTCGGACAATGGTTTCCGGATGAGGGTTCACGGTTTACGGTTTTAGTCATCTTTAAAAAAATAAAAATAAAAAGGGGGGGGGGAAGGCAAGGTGGGACAGAGGGTATCATGGCTCACGGGCAGGACGGGTAAGTGGGGGTACAAAGGCTAGCTTGGACAATGGGTGAGCTCTTTCTAGGTTGCAAGGATCTATGTGGCAGATCTGGTTATCAGATCTGAGAGGAATAGAGTGGGGCACGGCAAGCTGACAGTCAATCCTCCACCAAGGTGCAGCAATCAATGCTGATCAGGGGTCCTTTGCCCAGACGGAAGGAAGCGTGGGTGGTCCTTATTCTAATGTCTATTCTGACTTGCCGATGGAATAGGAACCGGACTGTTGCTCCCCAGAATGGGAATGAGCCAGAACAATAAGGCCCTGTTATTTAAAAAAAAAAAAAAAAAAACGGGAATTTCAGGTGTTGAGCTGTTGCGATTTTCCACAACAGAAATAGCAGGAAAACAAAATCCAAGAAAAGCAAAAAATTTTGATTTTCGGCAGTTAGGTCAAAATCGCGATTCTGGGGGCTAATTAGTGTGCTCTAATCAATCAATCAATCAATCAAGACTGATCAACTAATTAGTCCCCACACACATGTCGGATCAGGTTGTCCTGATTCACATGTGGTGTTCCGATACCAACTGATACATGCCCAGTTGGGCAATGTATGTACAACCAAGGATCCGCAAGGTGATGAAAAGGACTAAATGGACAATGCATTGTTAGTGGAATCTAAACAAGCAGTGTACATCCTGATACATACACAATGGCACATAATAGCGCAGTGGAAGACTTTGAGATAAGTCCTGACCTGAACGGGACGGACACGACATCCCATCATACATCACTCATGTGAGAGGAGGAGGGACCGCACACGAAGAAGAAAGGTCCCTCCTTGTACACGCACATGGGGAGATACCATAAATGAGAGAGGAAGGACGAAGATGGAGGCGAGGGAGAAGACCAAGAAATGTAACCTCTCCCAGAAACCAATGCCTGCCTCAGAAATGTCGAATCCGATCCTATGCAACACGCCCACTGTAACCTCTCCCTGTATTCCCTGCTAGTAACCTCTCTCACCCTCGTCCGTAGTCTGCTGCTGCCAAGAAGTCAGATAGCGAGAGGGTGAGGAAGAGATGGTGGACTGAGAGGAGGAAGAAGAAGAACTCT